GGGTCCGGGCTGGGGATTCGAACCCGCCACCTTAGGTGTACGTGGCTGGCGCCTTAGCCGGTTGAGCTATAGGCGCCGAGCCCTGGCTATTTTTTTTGTTACAGTTATCATAGTTGTTTATCTGGCCTGGGCCAGGTTTGAACCCACCACCCTCGGTGTATATGGCTAGCACTGTAATTACTGTGATACGGGTGTCAAGCCTGGAAGGTAGTTTTACAAGTGACAATGTGGACTCCTTGACCCAGCTATCTGCTTCTGGTAGCCACTATGGAGAAACAATGTTATTGTATTAGGGGACTTCCACATGGATGTTAGAACAGCATTTAGAGCAATAGTTGAGGAACAACCAGGTAGACAACCAGGTAGAGCCACACTTTGGAATGTCATGTGGCATTCTAAGAAGCCAGTGATCAAACAGTTCTATAGGTACTGGTCTGGGAGCCAAGATAAGAAAGCAAGAGCTTTGGGAAGCCACAGTTGGAGGCTTGCTTGAGCCCAAGAGTTTGAGACAGCCTGGCCAACATAGTGATACCTGTCTCTACAAAAAATTTTAAAAAATTAGTTAGGCATAGTGTCACACCCCTGTAGTCCTAGCTGCTCAGGAGGTGGAAGTGGGAGAATCACTTCATGTTAGGAATTTGAGGCTATAGTGAGCTATGAATGCACCACTGAACTCTAAACAGAGTAAGATCTAATCTCTAAAAAAAATAAGAGCCTAATCCAATATGTCCTCCACCAAACCAGAAGATCCTGAGGGTTCCCTCTTTTTGTGAGCAGCAGCAGCAGCTTGAACTCCATCTCCCGCCTCAGGCCCCCCGTCTTCTCCAGAGGGAGTTCTAAAGGGATGAAGGGTGATTACTGTTCCCATAGGCACCCCCAGTCCCAACTGCCTACTCTGTGGGAGGAGGAGCTGGCTGCTCCTAGGTGTTTGCTGGTACACATTTGGATAACAGCTCCCAAGGAGGAGCTTGGGAAAACCAGGGGACTTTAAAGGGTAGAGGTTGAGGGTCTAACTCCTTTACTGGAAGGCTGCCCCTGACAATGATGGGGAGGTGACAACCAGCTCCTCACACTGGGTAGAGAGCTCCAAGCGGGGGGAGTGCTGAGTTCTGAGAACAGTCCTCACAGCCTCTGGACTGGAAGAATGAAGTCCAGAGCTGTCACTGAGATGGCAGGAGACAGGTCTGGGGAGTGTGGCTTCTGGGAAGAAGTTGTCTCTGAGATGGGGTGAGATGCCACCATGTGTAGGGTAATTCCAAAGCTGTAGCTGTGTATGTGTGTGTGCACATGTGTAAGAGAGGAGTGTGTGTGTTTATTCAACACATTTGCATAACACATATTGAAATCAGGTGTCACAGATTTGAGGAATAACATGGACAAGATTGGGGTTTTTCTAGAGCTTATATGTTGGATGGGGGCTCAAATAAAATGATACCTATTTTCAGACAGTAGTAAGCATCATGAAGAAAATGAAATGGGGTAACGTAGTCCAAAGTAAGGCTGTAGTAGAATATGGTGGTCAGAGGAGGCCTTTCTGAGGAGGTGACGATTGCTTTGAAACTTGAATGTGGACCAGAAGTTAGGCAGGGAAAAAGCAAGTACAAAGGCCCATGTTACTGTGCTGGGCTGCCACAATGAAAAATCACAGACCAAGTGGCTTAAACGACAGAAATTAATTTTCTTACAGTTCTGGAGGCTAGAAATTCAAGATGAAGGTGCTAGCAAGGTTGGTTTCTCCTGAGGCCTCTCTCCTTGACTTGCAGTTGGTGCCTTTTCCTTGTGTCCTCATGTGGCCTTTTCTCTGTGCACATATGTCCCTGGTGTCCCTCCCTCTTCGCACTAGACAATAGTCCTATTGGCATAGGACCCACTCTCATTTTACCTCGTTTCCTTAGTAAAGGCCCTGTCTCCAAATACAGTCACATTCTAGGGTACTAGGGAGGGGGAATGTTAGGCTTCAGCATAGGTATTTGGGGAGGTACATACAATTCAGTCCAAATAGGCCCTCAGGTGGCATCAGGCTTGGTGAGTTCCAGGGAAAGCCAGATGCTTCGCGCACCTCTTTCTGGGGAGAAGGATGGGAAGGCAGGGATTGAAGGCAGGTGAGGTTCAAGATGTGTTCTGAGGGTTATGGCGACTCCTGGAAGTCCAAGTGGGTCTCTGGACTAATCTGCAGGTATGGGACTATATGGCTCTGTAGAACAGAGAGAAGGGCAAGGTTATGGCTTCAGTTCATTTCTTACTCTGAGAAGCTGTTTCCAAGCCATGGGACAATCCCTCCCCATGGGGGCTGGGAGTCAAAGAGGCAGATGCCTGGGTGTCCCCCCTGGCTGAGTACCTCTTTTTCTCTCCTCCTCCCTGAGAATTAAAGGCTGGTGGGTGTCTCACCATTACGTCTCCACGTTCCTGTCTGGAGTGATGCTGACCTGGTGAGTAGCTCCTTGCTGTGCCTCCTTGTGCCTCCCCAGGGAGCTAGAATGTGGAGCTAGGGAACTAGGGGGTGGGGATGGGATGGGTGGGACTGATCCAGATGGGAGGCCTGGGTGGCAAGGCAGAAACAAGCTTACATCCCTGGCCTATGGGCCTTGCCATGCCAATTGGGGAGTTTTCCCAGGGATTTTTGGAAATGTTTCAGGGTCTCTGGCTGCCTGGGGTGGAAGTGACAGGAAGTGAACAAGGCTGTGGCACTAAAGGAGACAGAGGGATTGGCAGGAACTTGGGTTTCAGCATGACTATGTGGGCTCCCCTAATTCTGGAAAGGACAATGGACACAATTTGGTCCAGTATCAGGGACAGAGAAGGGCAGAAACTGGGGACTGTGGTTTAACTCGAAAACCTTTTCTTCTCTCTTGATTGGAACAGGTGGGGCGGGATGAATGTCTGATTTCACAGCACACCTCACCTTTGTTTCTTTCCTGTCCCTGCCTTCTCTCCAGGCCTAATGGACCGATTTATCAGAAGTTCCGAAATCAGTTTTTAGCATTTTCAATTTTTCAGAGTGAGTGTCTCTTCCTCAGCTTTGGGGAGGGAAATAGCTTCCTGTGGTTTTCACTGAGGGAGGCCCCAGCTGACATCTCTGTCTGCCTGTGTAGAAGGGATACCAGACTAGAGAGGGGAGGGTCCTAGAAATCCAGACAAGAGCTGTCTCCCTGCCCAGATCAACTTTCCATCCTACCTTCCAATTCCCATCCTGGGATCAGGAAAGCCTGGCCTACACCCAGCCCTGGTGCCTCTGCCGTGGCCTGTCCTTCCCCAGGTTGGCAGACCAGCTGTCACGTTTGGGAATGGTGTGTTCGGGGCACTAACCTTGTTTCCAAGTTTTAAGTAAGTCCTCAAAATGGAAATATATATTCTTTTTTTCATTTAAGAATAGCTCTGGGTTTGTATACAAAGCACTGGTTCCAAGTATTGCTTCTGTAGGTTCTGGGGAGGGGGGGTTGGATGGCTGGGGACAGGGAGAGGATTTCACTTTTCACCAAGAGCTTGTCTCTTCTCTTTGAATTTTATACTGTGTGCATACTGTCTTTTCAAAAAATACAAATTAATTTTTCTGTAAAAACCTGCTTGCAGGCTTTGCCCCTGTAGCTCAGCAGGTAGGGTGCCAGCCACATACACTAGGGCTGGCAGGTTCAAACCTGGCCCAGACCTGCTAAACAACAATGACAATTACAACAACAAGAACAAAAAAATAGCTGGGCGTTGTGGCAGGCACCTGTAGTCCCAGCTGCTTGGGAGGCTGAGGCAAGAGAATCACTTAAACCCAAGAGTTTGAGGTTGCTGTGAGCTGTGATACTACAGCACTCTACCGAGGGTGACATAGTGATATTCTGTCTCAAAAAAAAAACAAACCCTGCTTGAAAACAAATGTAAATGTCTAAAGCCAAGAATGGAAGTTGTATATGATCCCACCTTCTGGGGTGATCAGTGTTAATTAAGATCTATGTCTTTTAGGGGTGGTGCCTATGGCTCAAGGAGTAGGGCACCAGCCCTATATACTGGAGGTGGTGGGTTCAAACCTGGCGCTGGTCAAGAAAAAAACTGCAATAAAAATAAAGAGGCTCATCAGTAATTAAAAAAAAAAAAAGATCTATATCTTTCCAAACATATTGCATTATGTATATTTTACAGATGTGTGGTCTGTACATTAACTTGACTGTTATAACCCACTTTTAAAATTTCTGTTGTTAATTGTTAAAATTTTAACAGTTTATCACAGCTATTTTTCCCTTTCCTTACTTCCTCATTTTTAGCAACTATAAAGTACCCTATTGTATGGGACTCTCTTGTGTTTTGGCATTGCACACAGCTCCCTGAACAGCATGGGCACATGTTACATTACATCAAGCAACTATTGAGTACCTACTGTATGCTTAGGAAAACTCCAGAAGTTTCTAATCTAGTTGGGGTATAGGTGGGTCCTCATGTACCTGAGCTGTCTTTGTATTTAGGATAAAAGATAAAGCCTGTTTCAGACCAAAGTCTGTGAGTGAGGGGTTGGGAGAGGGTTGAAACCAGGGCGTCTTCCCTGTCCTCTGGCTAGTGAAGTCCCACCAGCCTGCGGACTTGGCAGAGGTGACATCAGGTCCTGAGCCAGCTGCTGTGCTCCCCCTGCAGGCTGTGTCCAGTTCCTACAATATTATTACCAGAGAGGCTGCCTCTACCGGCTGCGGGCCCTAGGGGAAAGGAATCACCTGGATCTCACTGTGGGTGAGTAGCTGGACTGCAGGGTGGAGTGGGAGGGGCAGGTGCTGGGACCACCGCCTGGCAAGACCTACCATGCAGCAAAGCAGTGGTTTTCAACCTGTGGGTCACGACCCACAGGAACTGTATTAAAGGGCTGAGGCAATAGAAAGGTTGAGAACCACTGCAGCAAAGCCACGGGCACCGCACCATCCACTATCTGAATCACTTTTCCTAATTCATCATGGATTTTATTTCAGCTGACAAGGCCCTCATGCTGAGCCTCTGTCATATTACTTTGAAGTGTCTATTTTTCATCTGTTTTATAATGTACATAATATTTTAGTCTAGTGTTGTTTATGCATCTAATTTATGTATAATATGTCTACTTAGGAATACTATAAACATATAAATTGGGATACATACCTAGCTCTCTTAACTCATGAGAGTCAGAAAGATTTGGAGACAGCCTTGTCCAAACTTTCAGGGAAACTATTTTTAATAAAACTCTGCTATTTTTGAGATGGTCATTTCCATCGAATTATCGTACTTTGTCAAGACTCAACTGCAAAGTTTTGTGCCTATTAAAGAAACTAGTAACAACATAGTGCCTGGTATTCCGTGAGTGTTGTTAGGCCCGCTTATTTTGTGGCGACTTTAGGAATGAGAAGAACCAGGCCTAGTGACAGGGGCTGTTATTGTCATGGTGGGGGCTACCCCTTGCCCCCATGCGACGTGGTGTTTGTGCCTGGCTAGTCTTAAGGTGACTGGTGTGGTTGGGCAGCAGGCTTCTGAGCCCCTCACAAGGCCTATCGCGACTCCCTCCTCCCCACAGAAGGCTTCCAGTCCTGGATGTGGCGCGGCCTCACCTTCCTCCTGCCTTTCCTCTTCTGTGGCCACGTGAGTGCCTGGGAGTTTGTGGGTTATTTCCTGCCTGGGCTGATGCTCAGGAACAGGTCTCCAGGCTTCTCCTTCCTTCTATGACCTTCCCCATGCTGGGCCCTAGGGCTAGGACAGCCCTCTGGGCCCAGGGACACCAAGGGCAGACTGGCTCTGGCTGAGGGTACTTGCATTTTCATTTTGGGGAGCCAGCAGTATCTCGGGTGGTTGATACCCAAGGCTGTGGGGGCCTGGTCCATCTCCCTGGCTTTCCACATGGGTCTCCAGGGGAACTGGTGAGTAAGCAGTACCTGCCTCCCTCTCTGTAGTTCTGGCAGCTCTACAATGCAGTCACGTTGTTCGAGCTCTCCAGCCATGAGGAATGCAGAGAATGGCAGGTATGGGCTGTGTGTATGCAGGGGCATGGGGGTGAGGGAGGTGGTTCCTGGGGAGGGCTGGGCCTGTGTTGGGAGAGGTCTGTCCTTAGCCAACTCCCCCAGCCCAGTGTGGGCCCTGCTGCCAGAGAGGCGGGCTGGAGGGAAGGAAGGCAGTCATGAAGAATTTCTAAGTCCCAAGGAGGTTCTCCCCGTGGCACACTGCCCAGGCCCCTGCCCGACCCTGAGGACCCACCCCATCTGTGCCTCCTGAGGGCAGAACTGCCAGTGGAGGGCAGTTTGGCTGGGTTTGGGGGTGCAGGGTTGGGCATTACTGCAGGGCTCTTGACCCAGGCTTCCCCTCCTCTCTGCCCGGGGGCTGCTGCTTCCCCGCGCCCCAGGTGTTTGTGCTGGCGCTCACGTTCCTCATCCTCTTCCTCGGCAATTTCTTGACCACACTCAAAGTCGTGCACACCAAACTCCAGAAGAACAGAAACAAGACCAAGAAGGCTTGAGCCTCAGACTCCTGTGCCCCTTGAGCTCCTGGACTTTGAGACTGCTGGGGAGCCCGGTGGCACCTGGGCTGCTGAGTGCCTCCAGGAGTGCCAGGCTATAGCCATCTCAGGGGCCAGTGGCAACACTGTAGGGCCTGGTCCCTGCTGGACACAAGGAATGTGAGCCCTGCCTGTGCGCACAGTATTCACCCACCTATTTATAACATATTTAATACCAGGTCCTCCTGATGTCCCAGCCAGGACTGGGTCAGTCTTCCTGGGGGAGAGGCCTGAAGCCTCAGGGAGCCCCTCTGTCCCCACTCCTATCATTTGAACCCCCCTCACCTTAGGGTTTGGATGTGCCTCGCAGGGGCTGGATTTCTGCTGACCTGCTACTTACTGAGTCCCAGGCAAGGCGGTGGAATGAAGCCCTCCATGCCCATGCCCATAGAGCGTCCCCTCCCCTGAGGCCTTGGCCTCTGCTGTAAGCTCCACTCCCTGTAACGGGAGCTATTCAAGTTCTCAGAGAACCACTGTCCATCTTTGCGTGCTTTTTATGCTTCCTGGCTTGCCCACCTGTGGCCACCTGGGAGGTTCTGAGACTCGAGGGTCACCACCTGAGGGTGTTGCAGCAGGTGTGGGCTCCAAGTGACCCTGGAAGCTCCATCCTTCTCAGGTTGCCTGATGACCCCCCTGCAGCCCACCTGTCTGCTCCTGCAGTACATATTCCAGGAGTGACACCAAGACCCTCAGGGCTGGCTGGCATTTAGGCTATCACGGAGGTCTCTCAACTCTCCATGTCTCTTCCTCCAGTTCAGAGGCTCTAGAATGTGGGGGTATGGTGGGGTCTGAGCAAGCTCACCCACAGAGGCCACCCTGCAAGGTCAGGGCAGGGCTGCTGGTCACCCACCTAGTGTCAGGTTGTGTTTGGGGTGGGGGAGGCCAGCGTGTTTGGTTAAATGTCCTGTCCCTTCTCCCATTTGTGGGCTCAGCTGCAAGTAACTATTTCTCCACACATCCACTTTGACCAGACTTCACAGCTTGTGTCCACAGACATGCCTTATTTGGTCCTCAAAGGGATTAAATTTTTAAAATTAGTTATATTTTAACCAAAATAAAAACTCAGATTTCTGCTTTCCCTAGAAAAATGTAAGGATCTGGCAGTGTTTCCACAGGGTACAACTGGGTGCCTGGTTCCCCACTCTGCCACAGGCCCCTCCACTCCCTGCTCCCCTTGTCAGGCACCTGGGTTTGCCTTGATTAGGCATCAGCAAACTGTCTCTTAATGGCCAGATGGCCTCTGTGGCAACTACTCAAGTCTGCAGTTGTAGGGCAAAAGCCAATGCATAAATGAACAGATGTGTTCCAATAAAACTTTATTTACAAAAACAGGCAGTAGCCAGATGTGGCCCACAGGCTGTAGTCTGCTGACTTTTCCCTCTTAAGACTATCATTTGTTCATGAGGCCTTCCAGAATAAGTCCTTGGTTGATTACCCAGGAGAGGGCAAGGCCTTGGGGAGCTTAGATGGGGTGGGGAGCTTTCAGATCTCCTTCCCTTGGCAGCCTGACTTCTGAGAAGCAGCCCACAAGGGGTGCTGAGGCAAGAGATGGTGGGGAGGGCAGGTGCCACCTGACACCATTATCCTATCATAGGCAATACCAACTCCTAGACTCACTCCATCACAGAGCAACTCTTAGTCTCTGGGCATTAAAATCACCTGGGGTATTTGTTGAAAAAGTCCTGGACCTCTGACCCCAGACCTTCTGAAAGGAGATTCTGTGAACTGGTTTTGAGAAGCCATCCTGTGTGGGCAGGGGGTTGATCACGTTAGTTCTCGGAGGCCTGCATGCCCCATGTTGGGTTAAGCAGAGGCTGTGAGAGACAGAAGGTAGGTAGCTGGATGACTATTTATTTTTTATTTATTTTTTTATTTTTTGAGATAGAGCCTCAAGCTGTCCCCCTGGGTAGAGTGCCGTGGCATTACAGCTCACAGCAACCTCCAACTCCTGGGCTCAAGCGAGTCTCCTGCCTCCGCCTCCCAAGTAGCTGGGACCACAGGCGCCCGCCACAACACCTGGCTATTTTTTGGTTGCAGCCATCATTGTTGTTTGGCGGGCCCGGGCTGGGGATTCGAACCCGCCACCTTAGGTGTACGTGGCTGGCGCCTTAACCGGTTGAGCTATAGGCGCCGAGCCTAGATGACTATTTAAATGGCCCAATCCTGTCTTGTTCCAGATGAGAACATTCTAGAACTGACTTGCCCAAGATCACACAGGGAGCAGATGGCACTTTTCACCTTGAGTCTCTGACAATGGGAATTTGGATAAGACCTTGAGTAGAGGGCTGATGGCTGGAATGGGGTGCACATCTTACTGCTAAGAGCCCTTTCCTTTCCCTCTGTGCAGGTGTGCCCAGCTCTGCACAGATGGTGGCCAAGCTGAAGGCTAAGGCTGACCTCTTGCATGGGGGACACAGGCAGGAGGTGTTGGTAGGGTTGGTGGCAGCCTCTTATCCGGGGCTTGTTGCCTGTGTTCTCCTGATAGGCCCTGGCCCTGCTGCCCCTGGGCGGAAGACAGGAAGAAGCTCAGGATACAGCTGTGCCTATCTCGGGAGCCTACGGAGGCGGGTGACAGGAGCAGTGGGGCGCCCGGGTGGAACAATGCCAAATCCACACGTACCCCCTACCAGATGTAAATTCAATTTCAAGCAAAGTTGGGTCTGCACAGGGAGCACACACATGGCTGTAGGTGGCTGTGCTGAGTATACTCCTGGGTCCTGGGGACAAACACTGGCTCCAGGGCACAAAAGGAGGAGAATCCAGCACCCTCATCACCACCATGTTCCAGTGGGAGCCTGGAGGCAAGCTTGTGGTCATAGCCCCCAGATGGGGAAACAGAATTCCACAATGTTCCAGAAGTCTAACTCCAGGGCCCAGACACCAAGTATTGGAGAGTTGTTGGGGATGGGGATCTGGGCCCTGTCAGTGCTGTCATGAAGGCCATCCACCCTGGGATCAGAGCAGCAGGCAGAGCCGATGTTTTTTCTGCCGCTGTGCTTTCTTCAGAGCATTCAGGGCCACCTTGGCAGCCTCTCGAAAGACGTCCTCCACATTCTCCCGAAACTTGGCAGAACATTCCAGGTAGAGTGCTGCTCGAATCTGTTGGCAGGCGCTCAGGCCCTAGGTGGGGGAGGAGCCAGCATTAGGTGAGGGAGTCCCCCAGGCCACCTGATGCTTCTCATAGATTTAGGGGAGTGAGGCTGACTTTGGGAGCTGAACAGGGGTAGAAGCCTTGGTTTGGAGCCCTCTCTCTTCTCTGCTGCAGGGCTGGGCCCCATCAGTGCCTGTGGATGGAACACAGGGTCTGTCTGATGCCGTCCAATGAGGCCTCGCCCTGGCCGCTGCCAGGCTTCAGGCAGAGAGAGAGGCTGCTGGGTTCTGGGAGCTGGGGTTGGTTCTCTTAAGTGTCTCTCCCAGACTTGGGAGAAAAACTGGGAGGCCTCAAGATAGCAAGGACTTCTGATATACCTCTCTCCCTTCCCTGGAAGCACAATTTAAGCAACTGAGCTTGCTAGTACAGTAAAAACAAACAAAAAAAATTATTTTAAAAATGAATTTACCATAAAAAAATCTAAAAAAATAAAATTATCTTTATCAAGACTTATTCCTTTTTATTAAAGTTTCTTACTAATTTTCCTTTGTGCTCCTGTTATTCTATCTATCCTCCATTGCCTCTCCCAAAAGCCTACAGAGTTTGGATCTGCCTGTGACTCTAGTGGGGAGCAGAAGCCTATGTTCAAACAAGCTTCTGTCCTGCTCATCCCATTGGGCAGACAAGACTGGATGGTGGTTGAGAGCACACACTCTGGAGCCAGAGTGGCTAGGACAGATCCTAACTTCACTTCAGGTTAGCTATGTGACCCTGGGCAAGCTACTTAACCTCTCTGGGCCTCTGGGGGAATGTTAACCCTTTGGACCAGAGACCCTGGAAAACTGGTTTGACTGTCTTTTTCTAGAATCCTATATTTCCTGTATTCTTTAGTGATGGCTTAATCCTAAGAGCTGAGTAAACTGGTTCACTTATTAGCTGCTGACATTGAGTATTGTTGAAAAGAGATACTCTGGCTCGGCGCCTATAGCTCAACCGGCTAAAGCGCCAGCCACGTACACCTAAGGTGGCGGGTTCGAATCCCCAGCCCGGACCCGCCAAACAA